TTGCTGCAATTTGGATTGCCTGAACATCGCAGTCAAAAGCGCGTTTCAAATCGCTTCGTAGAGAAAGGACACCGTTAGCCCCTGGCATCTTAAGCAACAGGTACGGATAATGCGGTATCGTCATGAATTTTGCTAGTGCTGAGCGCCCGAGGATTACGTGATATGATGAATCGAAGTCTGCAACTTCAAACTTAATGAACTCTGTACGATAGTTCGAGGGAGTTCCAAAAGTAACCGGTAGAGTGATTTGTCCAAGTGGCATCGCTGCCTTGCCGGGTACTATGCCATAAAAAGGGGTGTTCATTGGTGTAATCATCCCGATGAGTTGTAGTCCCATCTTCCTTAGAGTTTCTGAAAAAATGATGTTGAGTCCGGCTCCCCCATCGATTAGTACTTTTGTGACAGTCATACCGGCAATAGTTGGATCCAGAACCAGTGGGTAATGACCTGCGTTTCCTACGCTAGTCCATTGGTCTTCTCTTGAAAATTGGATTGAATACTATGACTAATTGAGATATCTTAGAGTAGCCGGTTCTGTTGCCATGGTGGTTCATAGTGCTAGCTTTTCTTGATGTTTGCTTTTGGAATCTAGAACCCCGGCGAAGATCACTGCTACTGTCCCCCTAAATTTTTGGAATCTCTTGTCTTCGTGGTTGTCTTATTCTTTTTTCTGATTGTCTTCTTTAGTGTTCCCCTTACTATCTTTTCTTGTGTATCGATCATTGAAGGTGTAGCAATTTCCGATGGTGTGATTTCCTTTGGGGTGTAAGATGCAATGCATGTTTTCAATGTCGTCATACGATCTTCTGGGTTTGGAAAACTTTCTTGGTTTGTCAGTCACTGCTACGGTGTTGTCTTGTCCACGTTTTCTTTCCTGATGTCTGATGTTTCGATGATTTTGTTTGTTCGGGTTGTCTCGGTTGTTTCTATCCGGGAACCTTTCTCGTGTCTTCTCCTCTGTAGTAATCATCTTTTCTACTGTGCGTCTGAATTTTTCATTATTTCTCAGGTTTTCTTTGTAGAAGTTCTGAAATTACCACCTGGCCATGATTCCGTGAGAGAAAGCTTCGATTACTTCTCGTTCGGTGATGTCATGTACTTGAGCACGTAGTTCACCAAATCGTCGATAGTAATTTCTGAGACTTTCACCTCCTTTCTGCTTGAGTCCTTTTAACTCTGCATGGGTAATTGGGTGTGTAATGATACCCGCAAAATTTTCATAGAAAGCTCTTTGCAAGTCCTCCCAATTTTTGATTGACCCTGTATTCAATTTGTCGAACCATTAGAGGGGCATGGTTTCTAGGGCCATGGGAAAGAACAGGGTCTTGATATCGTCGTCTCCTCCAGCTAGTTCAATCGATTGCAAGTAAATCCTAAGCCACTGCCTTGGCTCGGTCTTACCATCATACTTAGAGTGGTTGGACGGCTTGAACTTGTGAGGTAGTCATATTGAAGCAAGTCTGTTTGTAAAACAGGGGAATCTATCGTGCGTTCTGGCTTCTGTGTATTCTGATTCAGCACCCCCTTCTTGCCAACTGTTGTCTTGGTGAGAGTAGTTCTGCGTGGCTGTCCGAATAGGTGCTTTGCTTCTGATCTTTCTTGGTTGTTCGACTCGGTCGTTTTGACTATGGTTCCTTCTACTTTCTCTGTTGTGACTTTCACTTGGTCCAAGTCTCTCGAAAGCGGACTTCCTTTGATTTTGATCTTCCTGCTCATGAGATGTTGACCTGGCGGGTAGTTTTGAACGGGTTCTTCCGTCGTGCGTCCTTAGGACTGTTGACCGGAGAAAGTCCCAGAGCTATTCTTGTTTTTCACTGGGATGTGAGGTCGCTCTGAGTTCTTCTAGTGCTTCTCGGATCTTATCGTAGGGCGTATTCGCCGTGCGTCTTTCTTCGACTTCTCATTCTGATTTTCTTCTATTGTACTCGGCCATATCTGACTCATATCTGATCTAAGCTTCCTTGCGCTGCCTAGCACGGTGATGGCATCCTTGTTTTTTCTTTCTCTAGCTTGCTTCTGATTCTCGGTCTCACCATCGTGCCCCTGGGTAAAGGGTGATATGTTGGACTCAGATTCATCCGATGACCTGACGTCGGGTGCTTCCGGGGGGATTAATGGTGATCGAGGACGGCGAAACCATGAATACTTCTTATGCGTGAATTGTTCTGCTATCGGCGTCGGTTTCCTCAATGTCGGAGTTGTTGATAACTTTAGTAGAGGCTTTAAGGTCGCAGATCAAGTCTCCTTCTTGGTAGGATAGAATTGATGTTGTCGTCGTGCCAACTAGTCGGGTACCGCTATCCTCAGGAACAGAACCTGGCCAGTGGACGATGCAGTCTTGAGATGTTATAGTTAGTACGAGACCTTCCTGAGCTCCTTTCAGTGGCATTCTAAGCACCGGATCGAGGGATCCTTCGGGCCGTGTCTGATAAGATGTTGCCATGTTGTGGAGTCCGAACGGAAAAGAACCCGACTTCTTAAAAAGACTCTGAGTGTACGCCGGGTTGTATTCTTGATAGGCCAAGGCCGCGTTCTTAAGTCCCATCGAAAAAGAACTCGGTTTCTCAGAAGAACTCGAGTAAGACTCTATTTCGGATGCGGAACCTGAGTTTGAGTCGGATGCGCGAAGTCGTGAAATCTGAGTTGGATCGGACGTCGCGAGCTGCGCGAATCTTCTAGCGAGTTGATCTGTCGTAGTTGCCGAAATGGAATGGTCTTCATGGTGATCCGAATCTTCGAGAAGATGGCTTTGGAGCTTGCCATTGTCACCTGCCTCGCAGATCCATGAACTAAAGATGAAGGTTGATCCCGTCGAGAAGATCATATTGTCGAGGTCCATCGAGCTCTCGGATGCAAATTCGCCGAAAGCCCTACCTGGCGCGCTAGCTGTCGATGGTTTACCACCGATAGCCTGCCATGGGGGTACCCGGGGCAGTATGTTCGGGCTTCAGCATATGCGGAACTCGACGGTAAACGCAAGAGACAGTCGAATTATCCTGGTTCGGACCCTCGATCGTTGATCGAGTAATAGCCCTACGTCCAGTCGGCATTAGCCTTTACGTTGGATTGATTGTCAAGTGTTGTGTCGTGTCGTAAAGTCTCGTCTCTAGGAGACCTGTCCTCCTTTATATAGTCAGGAGGTCAGAATCCTAGTCGGTTTACAATGAGAGTTCCTAGTAGGATTACAGAATACTACTACTACTAAGATTACATGGGAAGAATCCTAGTTAGACTAGATCTTCTCCCTTTCTTGCGGGGTATCTCGTGGGTCCCACACCGACAATCACACTAACCACTTTTATACTTTCATTTTTCTGTTGTACATTTATAGTGGAAACCCTGTCCTTCTCCTTATTCTTCCCCACATCCTTCCACCTCTAGCGGAATCGATACACGTGCGCATATTTCCACGTGGTTGGATCGATTTTTTTCAAGTGCGGAAAGATTGAGAGTTGAGGTAGGGAGTCGTTGGAGAACGCCTTTTTTCAATCTTCTATCTCAGGTTTCTCTTGAGTTAGTATTTGACAGAGCTTTACCTAAAAAAGATAGATAGAAAAGTAAAAAATGAAACCCCTAAAGGAGGCCTGTGAAACAAAGTCTAACATAAATAATATAACATAGTATATGATAGGCATGATCGATTGCTGAAGTTTTTCTTTATATAGATAAACCACATGCCAAATCAACTATGCAACGAAGAGTGTGCTATCACATCTAGGTGCATCAAAGCCGTTAATTTAAGAAATTGTAGAAACCCTTCATAGCATGGGGACTTAGGTGATAATTATGTAATAGCTTAAGGACTGTCCATGTAGTTGTAAGTTTTTATCTAGGGCATGTTCGCTTGAACTTATCAGCCGGCTTATCAGCTAAAATCTACAGTATTTTTTTCTCACAACAAAACAGCTTCAGCCGGCTGAACACGGGCTAAAATATAACATAACCCATCATGTATTACCGTTACACATGTTTGCTTCCCACACGCTGTAATCTGTCTCCAAATAAAAGACTGAAATCAAGCATCCTAACTTCCATTATAGCGGTAACTGATGTCATTTTCTTTGCGTTATCACTAACTGAACCAAACACCATCTATATGTCTGTTCCATGCTAAAGCGTCACGTCAGCTAATAGACGTTGATTGGCTAATTTGGGCTAAAATGTGGTACTTAAAAAGTTCAAGGTCAATGTCCTAAATATGCAATTTTGTGGTACTTAAATAGTTTAGAGTCTGCCACTGTAATCTACTAGCACTACTTTTTTCAGACCAATAGATGTTATGATCGACTATTCATCCAATTTAACTATTCGAATTCCAGTAGTTGCATCTTTACGTGTGTTATATAAAATTGTTCACATGGCTGGGTAGCCGATTACATTTATGATAAAGGGCCTGTTCGCTTGGAGGAAGTCTGGAGAAATTTGAATAGTTTGGAGAAATATTGAAGGAATTTGTGAGAGAAAAACACTCTTCCAGATAAAAAAAGAAATAGAAGCCGGGTCTAAGGGTATGCGAACGGGGCCAAAAGCAATATGCACGTGACCATTATTTTTCAATAGATTATTTGTGATGCACATGTATGACGTCCTCGCACCATCATGGTGCACTGTGATGTGTCCTATTCGCACTAAAAATACTATTAACTAATTTATTATAAGAAAAAAATATTTTTCATCGACCGAAAAATACCGCTTATAAGGCGATGATCGTGAACTCGTCATCCGACGACCTCGCAAGGGGGAAAAACGACACTACCGACGACAAGGTCCTCACCTGGGCCCAAAGGGCACATCCGGGCCCGCAGCGTCACCTCCGGACCCACCTCACAGTGACACAGTCGATCGAGCCCGAAACCTGCATGTACCACGGTACCACCTCCAGCCGTTTCCTTCAGCTTGGTGGAGGCTCTCAAGTCCGACACGCTCCCCTTCCCTTTCCCTTTCCCTTTCCGAAGCTTCTCGACCCCCTCCACGTCCCCCTTCCTTCCCCCCTCCCTCACATGGCCGACGACGCGAAGGCCGAGGCGGCGCGGGCGAGGCCGGAGTCCTCGCAGGAGGAGGAGGAGGACTGGAAGGAGGCCGAGGGGGACGTCGCCGAAGTCGACCGCGCCGCCACCAATGGTACCGGCGAGGGGGACGTGCCCACGGACAGGCCGATCCGGGTCTACGCCGACGGCATCTACGACCTCTTCCACTTCGGCCACGCCAAGTCGCTCGAGCAGGCCAAGAAGCTGTGAGAACACCGCCTCCCATCCTCTGCCTCGTCCTCCTCGTCCTCCTCCGTCTATTGGGCCTGCCGTCTCCGGTCGAATTGAACTACCTCTCGATCTGCCTATCGCGCTGGTGTGGGGCCGGGCGACGTTGCGTGCTAGCGTGCAATGGTCGCTGCTTTAGCAGCGCTTGCGGTGGCGTATAGATCGCGCTTCATTAGACGGCTCTGTGCGAGATTGGCGTTGAGTTGTTGTTACTTCCCCTTCTTCTCTTTGTGGCAATTTTGTGATGAATTGTCCCACGCGTTTAGCAGTTCCGGAATGGCTTTCTGTGAGTAAAATAGTAAATTACCACGAGCGATGCCCATTTGTGTAAATATTGCCGTGAGTTGATTGAAATCCGATTTAGTGTTGTCTGCGGCTTAGTTGGCTGCTTGATGTGCAATATTGCTTTAGGTATCCTTTTTGGGCAATTTGATGGGTTGTTTGGTGAGAATTGCAGGTCCATTCTTAGTATCTTATACTCCTACCTGATGTGATACGACTGGATCGTTTAGTCTTAAAGCATCTATTTCCTCCTTAGTCCTTAGTGCAGTCCGATTTGGAATCATTCATACACTTCCCTTTAGCCTGTTGTGTTGCTTCAGAGTTCAGAGTGCTTAGGTAATTGAACTTTTTTCACTCAGGGGCTACTATGATTGTCTTGCTTGGGTAAAAATTGCCATGCATTGTTTTGTAGCTAGGATGCTTGAACATCTTCTAATTATTGAGATGGGCAGCAGAATGGAGTCCGCTTCCTGGTTTTTATTCTTTGAGATATCAGTAGCACTCATTCATGATGTAGTGAAATGAGTCTGTTCTATCGAAATTTGCCAGTCTGTCTGAATCGATTTGTGGTTTCTGATGAATTCCACATTCCCCATTTGGCTTTACCTACCATAGTGGGTCCATACGAATTTGAGTAAGAGTAACTATAGTAGCATGCGTAATTAATGGGTGTGTCTGCTGTGCCTGAAACATTGCATATCCATCGGGCGATGGTGAGAGCCTTTGGATCCTAATCCAACGCGCAGCAGTCGTCTTCAACCTCCTGACCTGCCTGATCCTCTTCTTCCTCGATGGCGGCCGCACTCTCGTCCTCGTCCTCGCCCCGCCGCCACCCACCGCCCCGCCGCGGCGCACTAGGGCTTCGCCGGAGCTGCGCCATAGTCCTCGGAGGAGCTCCCCCGTCCCGACTTGGCTCGGCCGCCTCCACCGCCAGGGTCCCTAAAACACCCGCCGGTCTCCCCACCGCCTGGTCGGCCTTCCTACCCCAACACCCTTTCCTTCTAAGGCCGCCAGAGTTTGGGAAGAAGGGAGAAGCTCGCTGGAACCCTAACTCGGGAGGAGGAGGAGGGCGTACCTTGCTAGATCCGCCGTGGCCGCCGCCGGATCCGCCTGAAGTCGCCGTCCATGGCACGGGTGGGGCGCGAGGAGGAGTTCGCTGGTAAGCAGCTCGCTGGGGCTCGCCGCCGAGGATCTCGCTGGGCGCCGGGGAGAGAGAGAAAGGGAGGGAGGGAGGTAGAAGATGCTTGCGGGCGGGTGGGCACGTGAGTTGGGGGTATGCGGGCGTGCGTGGGCGGGTGACTGATGCACAAGTGAAAAATCAGTCACCTGCAGTGGAATAATTCTGTTTATTAATTCCGTTTTCTGCAAAAAGATTCAATCTGGCAAAGTTACTCTTGCAATTATGTTATCTTTATTACATTCAATCTTTTCCTCAAATTTATCCATGTATCAGAACTTTAGGTACTTGTGGCGTGCAGGGAGAGGAACAAACAAATCCATTCAGGTTCCTGCAGTACCTTTCATAAGCAGCCATGTGGCCTGCTGGCCTTTATCAGTTTCTTAAGTGTGAAGCGTTATTTAGGTCTTTAAAGGTTACTTCGTAGTGACAGTATTACCTTAATCTAGTGTAACACGAAACAGCCCTTTTTTTGTTCTTATTTAGTGAAATGAGTGCATCTAACTTTGAACTGCCATTGGCCTTGTTAACATCTGTGCTGTGCATATAACTTTTAACTGCCATTTGCCTTGTTCACATTTGTGCTGTGCATATAACTTCGAACTGCCATTGGCCTTGTTAACATCTGTGCTTAAGCACTATTAAAACATTCTCTCCTGTAGCTCTTGTAATATGAGCAGACTGAATAAGTACTTTCAAATCTGCAGGTTTCCAAACACATATCTTCTTGTTGGATGCTGCAATGATGAGTTGACACACAAATTGAAAGGAAGAACTGTAATGACTGAGGATGAGCGATATGAGTCACTTCGTCATTGCAAGTAACCGCTCTCTCATGCTTTTTTATAATTATGTTTTATTAGTGCCATAATTGTACCTTATATATGCATTTCCAGGTGGGTTGATGAAGTCATTCCAGATGCTCCATGGGTGGTGACAGAAGAGTTCTTGGATAAGCATAACATTGATTTTGTTGCTCATGATTCTCTGCCGTAAGCACTCATTCTAAAAAAGACTTGATGGCTTCATTATGCAGTAAATATTTCCAAGGAACTGCTTGAGATGATACATATGGCCATCATTATTGCAATGCATTTTTCACCATTTTAGAGTTCATATTATATTCAAAGACTTTGGTCTACTAGATGCTGGGTTTGAAATCTAAGTCTATTTGGTTAATATGTACCCTATCTTTCCTATTTGAACCAAGACAGGTATGCTGATGCTAGTGGAGCTGGTAAAGATGTTTATGAACATGTGAGTTGTTTAAGCTCCAGATTAAGAAATAAATTTATAATCTCGATACTAACAGTATCAATTAAATAATATTTTTGGTCTGTGGTTTTGTGACAGCCTACCCCAACTTGTTTGGGACTTAAAGGCTTTGTTGTTGTTGTTGTTGTTGTTGTGGTTTTGTGATAATAACTAATGGCAGTGCTACTTTATCAGGTAAAAAAACTTGGTAAGTTTAAGGAGACTCAGCGCACTGATGGGATATCAACATCGGATATTATAATGCAGATTGTTAAAGATTATAATGAGTATGTTATGCGGAATCTGGCCAGGGGCTACACTAGAAAAGATCTTGGTGTTAGTTATGTCAAGGCATGTGATACAAACCCAAAGCTATACCCAAATATCCAATAATTGCATTGTTTGATATTAGTCTGGTAGTGTCGTTTTTGTTGTGCTTGTCCAACTGACCCTTATATGTCTTAACAGGAAAAACGTCTGCGAGTTAACATGGGACTTAAAAACCTGCGTGACAAAGTGAAACAGCACCAAGAAAAAGTAGGGGAGAAGGTATTTGCATCTACCATCCTGTTTATTTACCGCCATCATACGATTTTAACTGGGAAGGTGCTCTTTTGTTGATTAGCCTTCTGAAATACTCCTGTTCATTTACAGTGGAACCTGGTTGCAAAGCTGCTCCAGGAAGAGTGGGTGGAAAATGCAGACCGCTGGGTGGCTGGTTTCTTAGAGAAGTTTGAGGAAGGGTGCCACTCAATGGTGAGTTACCCTCTAACCACCCTTAGCATAGAGCGTATGCTTTATTTAGGAATCCACTGCTCATTCGTCTATTCTTGTTTCCAAAACTCCCTCAGGGGACAGCCATCAAGGAGAGGATCCAGGAGAGGCTCATCAAGGCACAATCCAGCGACTTTAGCAGCCTCCTACAGTACGACAGCTACGATTCTGATGAAGCCAACGGAGACGACGAGGACGAAGTCTTTGAAGACGTCAAGGAATAGCACCTCTGTACATATACAAGGTTTTAGTAGTTGCAAATTGTCTTGTCAGTCCGTCGCCCCTCTCTGGTTGGTGGTCTTTATATGGTCAAAGCTAGGTCAGGTTGCCATACTTGTAGCTGCTCTTGGTGATTGTTCAGGCAACGCAAGGTTGTAAAAGCAGTGGAAAGGCTTTTGCAGCCAACGATACAGATTTCGATTGTTACATTTGGGTTAGAACATACGGGTACGGCTATAAAGTTGAAGTCGAGGTGGTTAAAAAATGTCGTCTGTTTTCCTTCCCCTGACATGTATGAATGCATTCATCGTCTCACAAGGTCGCCATCCAGGTCGCCGAGAACAGAATTCACAGTCGTTTCCAACACGAGGAATATTTGGAATTTTGTTTGTGTTGGAGTGTTGGACAAACAAAAGCGTCTTGGATTCCTTGGTACCTTCCATGGTCATGGGACATCGGTGCCTTGGACTCTCAGCCCGGAAAGGGAAATGCTGGGCTGCTGGCATCTTCAATTTCCGGTGCCCCTTGTTTTGGGTTCTTGCAAAGTCAGCATGACAGGTGTTGTTTCGGGTTAATATAAGGTGTAATTGGCCCGTTGCCAAACTCCATCCTAATTGCTCTGTTGCCTTCATTTTCTTTTTCTTGTGGAGCAAGGGTTCATGGATACTTTAAGACTTGACTTGCTTTTCTCTTGAGCAAGGAATGATTTTAGCTTTCTAATTAATTAAATATATCCTTGCTTGGACTGCTTGAACAAGTTTGCTCTTCCTTCCCCAGATACATCACTAGCTCGAAATTGATACAGAAAATCGATACAGAGGATACGTGGTTGCTTCAGTTTATCTCAGAGGTAGCAGTAGCTTGTTTCTTGCTCCCGTTTTGCCCTGTGGCTCAGGACAGCTTGAGCCAAGAGCTACAAACAGGAGAATATATATACACACACATATGATTTTGCTCTACTTTCCCCACAAGATAAATGTTGCTCCTGGTAGGTACGGCGGCATTCCTTCCGTTTAGCAATGGCTTTATGATTTCTTGACGATGAGTTGATGGTGAACAAGCAGATTCCAGCTGCAGGCCGCTGAAGCAAAGATCGGTGGTGGCAGAGAGGAAGAGGGGGCAGTAGACCACCAAGCATGTCGTCGCTCCTGTCGAGGCTGCGGCTGGTGACCGTGGACGTGACGGGCACCCTGATCGCCTATAGGGGCCAGCTCGGCGACTACTACTGCATGGCGGCCAAGTCCGCCGGGATGCCGTGCCCGGACTACGGGCGCGTGCACGAGGGCTTCAAGCTCGCCTACGCCGACATGAGCAGGAGGCACCCGTGCTTCGGCCACGCCGCCGCCATGCCCGCCGCCGAGTGGTGGAAGACGTGCGTCAGGGACTCCTTCGTCAGGGTAAGCAGCTTGTAACATCTCAGCCTCACTCTCACGTCTCACCACCGATCGATCTGCATTCCATCGAGCATCCAATTTGGTATGCGGCGCGCCGTGGCATGCAGGCCGGCTACAACTACGACGACGAGACGTTCGAGAGGATATTCCGGCGGATCTACTCCACGTTCGGCTCCGCCGCGCCGTACGCGGTGTTCCCGGACGCGCAGCGGTTCCTCAGGTGGCTGCGGGAGGAGGGCCTCGTCGTCGGCATCGTCAGCAACGCCGAGCACCGGTACAGGGACGTCGTTCTGCCGGCGCTGGGGCTCAACCAGGTCAGCCTCCCTCCAGCACTGCCGCCATCCATTCATCCTTGCACCGACGACGAGCAGCTGCACTGACAATGACCGACGGCGTGTTTCCAAATTCCAAACCCAAGGGGTCGGAGTGGGACTTCGGGGTGTTCTCGGGCGTCGTCGGCGTGGAGAAGCCCGACCCGAGGATCTACGAGGCGGCGCTGCGGCAGGCGGCCGGCGGGGGCGTGGCGCCTGGGGAGGCGCTCCACATCGGCGACAGCCTGCGCAAGGACTACGCCCCCGCGCGGAGCCTCGGGATGCACGCGCTGCTGCTGGACCGGTTCCGGACCGCCGAGGCGGAGAGCTGGCGGAGGTCCGGCGCGCCCGTGCTTCCGGACCTCGTCGCCGCGCGGGAGTGGCTCGTCGGGGGTCACAGTCACAGGGAGGAATGCGCGGATCAGCCTGTCACGGCCAGGTGACACGGCATGACCGAGTCCTGAACTCCTAGCAGGGAAGGGACCATTGGAGCATCTGGACGTCCGACCTCACTTGCCTGAGAGCCTGACATGGATCGATCGCCATTCCTGCTGCCATGACGGCGGAACGGAATGCCCGATGTCGTCGTGTAATCGAGATGAGAGCATCATTCAGAGATTCGACTCTGGAATGGACAAGAGCAATGCAACATTCGGCACTCCCCTCCTGTGCCTGCTACCCTTGCCTCAATTGTGGAATTGAGGGACCTTATCAAAAAAAAAAAAATGGAGTGAGGGATTTAACGTGTGAATAACCGAATATAATGAGGAAACATGACATTGTCCGTCGATTTTCATGCAAAGTCTCCAGGACAAATTTCGTAAATTTGCCCCAAACGGGCCAAAAGAATTTCGCTGGAAATTGTGTGCTTCGCTGAAATCGATCTACCAATTTTTTCGGTTCCAATCCGTTGATCTTTTTTCAATTCTAATTACAAAAGCTACGAGCGATATTCACTCCATTTTGCAGCATCCTGGAGAATGCAAAGGAAAAAAAGGTTATATCCATAAAATAAAAAAAGTTGACTTCAAACTTTGAAAATTCAAATCAAGAGGATTTTTCAGATTGTTTCAAAGACTTAAATGATCAAATTTTGTTTATATATGGAGATGTTTGGGACTACTATGCTCCATATTTTTTTTTAGCTCCGCTCTACGTTTTAGCTCCGTCCACTCTGTTCGAGGAAAAATGGTGGAGTTGTGAGAAAGCACATGTAGAGGTGCTTCATGAACTCTAATTTTTTTTTAAAGCTACTTTATAATAGAGTTTGTAAAACAAAATTCGTGGAGCAGCCCTAAACACCTAGCAGCTACAAAAGAAAAGAGGGTAAAAGAGATCTGCAAGTTGGAAAACCATCCAAATTTTCAAGAGACCGCTGCGGCCTGCGGCGCGGCCAAGGAAAGGGCCCACCAATCGCCGCGGGGGCAGTCGGGCAGATATCCCATCTGCAAGGCTGCAGGCACTGGGCCGCGAAAACTCAAGCACGCGACGATGCTGCGCCTTCGCGCTTGCGGCGGCACGGCGCCGGCGTCGGTGCCCACGCTCGTCAGGGCCCGCCTCTCCAGGCGAGCCTCCTCCGCAGCCTCCGCCGCCGCCACCGTCGCCTCCGCTTCCTCCTCTTCGTCCGCCCTGGAAGAGCTCGCCGCCGAACGCAGAGGTCACCCCCTTTCTTTGTCACATCTCTCCGCGTACTGTCGAACAGTGCTCCCGCTCCAGCTTCATCCTGCGCCGCCGTTTTGCCCCCTTCACCTCATTGTGTGGCGCGCGGCGGCGAGTGGAGTTAGACCGCCCATATTGAAGGCGGCGTGCCAGGAAGAAGATGGCGTGGTGCGCCAGCTAACGCAACGGCCAACGGCCAACGGCCATGGTGATGAATGTCTTCCTGTTTGCTGAAATGCCCCAATGGAAGAGTGCGTTGCTTGCAGTGTTAACGCAGCAGCGAAATTGCGTCACGCTAGTCGCTAGGTGCTAGGTTCATGTGTACAGGGGCGAGGCGCCTGATTGTAGCTTCAGCATATATTTAGAGCATTTGTCAATAAAAGGTTCGCTCATGAGAACTGAGAACTGCCGTTGCTAAGATTGCTTCTCTTAATCACCAGGGACTGGGATTTCTTCAAATCCTTCCTTTTTTCTAGACACTTGCTCTAAACTGTTGTGCTCCTGGGCTGCATATGCATTTCACATCACTTTGTTATTTGACGCAAGATTAAGAAACAAGGATACCAGCAGCCTAAAACTTAATAAGTTATTCTAAATCATTTTACAAAGGTCAGCCTCCTCCAACGTCCAGCTAGAGCTCATCTCATACAGAAATTGGTGCACTGTAAAACCAAACGTCTTTTTGATTGGGTTAATAGCTGTCTGTTGTTACTTAAATTGAAGTAAAGACTATCTTTAAACACGCTTCCTTGTTTAGGTTTGGCAAAGGTCGTTTTAAAGAAGGGGAAGACCCAAATATTCCGAGATGGAAGCCCAATGGTGTACAGCGGTGCTGTTGATAGAATAATCGGTCGACCTCCTCCGAAATCTGGTGATGTTGTTCTGGTAGCTGATGGGACAGAGAAACCTATTGGATGGGGTCTCTATAACTCTGTGTCTATGTTTTGTGTTCGGTTGATGCAGCTAGAAGAAGAGGCAAGAAGGTGACATAGGTACCTGCTTTTACAATCACCTACATTTTAGCAGTCCTGGTGCAAGCGGTAGAGTCTTACCGCCTGTGACCGGAAGGTCCCGGGTTCAAGTCGCGGTCTCCTCGCATTGCATTTTACTAACACCCTTCCCCAGACCCCATGCAGGCGGGGAGCTCTGACCTTTTAGCTGACTTATTACTTACCTTCTTTCTTTCCAGAGATCCCACATGCACACTAAATATGGAAAGGCTGCTTGAAGCAAGGATTTCATCTGCTGTTGATTTGCGGCGCAGTTTGGGTCTCCCTTCTGCTGACACAAATGCTTATCGCCTCATCAACAGTGAAGGAGACAGGTGTGTTAAATTTAGTTACAATGGGAAGTTGGGACTTGTTCAAGTCACCAAAGAAGTATAATTTGTAGAATGTATTCTTAGTTTTGTAGAGTAATAGTGCAATAACTATCATAAGCTAAAATCTTTAGATAAAGAATATGTTGTTACTGCCTTGTTGGTGTCCTTGAGTGCTCCTGCTTGAGGACCGTGCTGTTCAGCATCAAAGTATTAGTTTTGCTATATTTTCTTAGGAATACAGGGGCTTTATATTGATCTTGACTCAGTTTTCTTGGAAACACATCAGAAATTTCTTCTCACAAATTCTGAGTTGCAGATTGTCTGGTCTAATAGTGGACATCTTTGCTGATGTTGCTGTCATTGCTTCATCTGCTGCTTGGGTTGAGAAATACAGGCAAGAAATACAATTTCTTGTTAGCAAGGTTAATGGCATCAGCCATATAAAGTGGAGGCCATCGGCAGATATTTTGAAAGAAGGATTGGATATATCAGAGCATTGCCTGCTTCACCATGCTCAACTGTTAAGGTGGACCTGTTGACTTAGACAAGTTTATGATTCAGTATCAATTGGTCTTGATAGTTCATGTTTTAGGTTTAATTCCCTCATTGTAGTTGTAGTACCTTACCACACATTGAGCTGGCAAGATGGTAATGAGACTGATGCGAAACATAGGAACCAATGTGTCTCTTACGGCTTTGCTGCCAATATGGCTACTGCTTTGCTGCTTGCTGAGGAGGGCCAGCTTTGGGCAATGGCTGGAGCGCGAGGGATTTCCTTCTTGTTGGCCCTCGTTCCTAGTGGCTAGGTCGTTGGTATTTGTAAGGAAAAGGCATGTATGTAATTTTGTGATCCAATGGGTGTGTGGGTGTGGGTGTAACCAGGTTTGTTTACCCTTTTTTCCTTCTTTAATATAATGATACACAACTCTCCTACGTGTTGGGGGGTGGGGGGTGGGGAAGCAAGTGTGCGCTGTTACCTTTTGCAATTAGTTTGACTTTTGAGGTTGTACAATATATTGTTTTTGCGATGTTGTATCACCCATGGTATTGTTTTGTTTTCAGGTCATGGAGAATGGCATTGTCTACTTAGTCTCATTAGAGGGTCAGAAGACAGGGTTTTATGCAGATCAACGGGAAAACCGCTCTTTCATATCATTACTTTCAAAGGATCATTGGTAAAATACTTTAAGCTGATACCTTTGCTGCTACAGTGGTGGCTTTGCTCTTAACGCAGCTAAGGGTGGTGCTAATAATGTCATTGGTAAAATACTTTAAGCTGATAAACATCTTTCAAGTGCTTTTCAAGTTATTTACAATTGAATTTTGGCGGGATAGCATCGTCTGTTTGAAAGTTTCACACTATGATATATTTTTTGGTAGTCTCCTTCCTATAATACTCTGCTGGATTTCCGGTACAAAATATTTCAATCAGTGTAATCATTTTCAGGCATTGATTCATCAGGATTGGCACTAGACCTTGCCAATGAGAATATCGTTCTCAATGAGCTAAACCATGGAAAAATCTCATTTGTAAAAGGAGATGCAACTACATTCATGAAAGGAGCTATCTCAGAAAATGAGCTGTGGGACTTGGTAATCCTTGACCCTCCAAAGTTGGCGCCGCGAAAGAAGGTATACATAATTGCGTCCTCTGGGCCTGGAAGATTTACTTGTTAACTTCTAGTTTGACTTGAAATGAATCTATGTTTTATCTGTGCATGCGAACGCTGAAGCATGCTATATTTTGTGTTTATGAATTATTATTTCATGACTCACACCTGAATCTACTCCAATTTGCCTCTTTCTTAGTCCTTTTTTTTGCTGCATTTATGTCGTGCCAATCCAAAAAAAGTCCCAATTTTATTTCCCCAAAAAGTCCCGATTGTTTTGATTTTTGGAATGGGATATTTACCCCCATGAATAGGATCAAACCTTATTCCATGCTATTTCCATAAGATTCCTCTTTCTTTTCTTAAGCAAGCCCCCACCCTTGGCATGTATGCCATGAGCTGCAGCCAATCCTTTGTCCTAATTTCAGGCAGCTGGCACATATTTACTCACACTAATATTATCTAATCAGGTGTTGTATTGTATGGGATAAATGGGTTATGTTGTACCCCTTGCAGATGAAATTATGGCAGTGCCTTCATTCTTAGAGCTTATCAAGTCAAATGATCTTGATTCTCTTAATATCCCTTTTCATTGTTTTTGTTGATCGACACCTCTTGTACTTGCAGGTGCTACAAAGTGCATCCGGTATGTATAGAAGCTTGAACACGCTTGCAATGCAAGTGGTGAAGCCAGGGGGGTTACTCATGACATGCTCTTGTTCTGGAGCTATGACCCAAAGTGGCATGTTCCTCAAAACCATTCAGGTATCACAATGTTCTGGAACTTACTCATAGCATAACTACTCAACATACATCTTGCCACCTGTTTACTTATTTCTAGTATGTCAAAGTGTCAAACTATTTTGCATCTGTGAAAGTAAAAAAAAAAGGGTTCTCTTACCAAATAAAAGAAAGGTTACAGCCCTCCAAGCATTAAGTCAAGGTGTCCGGTGACTAAAATAAATCAGAGCAATGGCTCTTTTATGTTCTTCGCATCCATATTGACAATTTTGTGTTGGTTTGTCCACATAGATACTCATAACTTCCTCTTGCTACTGCTTTTAGGGTGCTGCATCAATGACTGGCCGTAAGGTTACGGTCTTACGTCAAGCTGGGACAGCCTGTGATCACCCCATCGACCCTGCATACCCTGAGGGCCAGTAACCCAGTATCTCAGCAATTACTTGCTGCGCGTGGCATGAAAAATAAGAGTTAAAAGCAGAGTCAAGTTAGTAGTTGTAACAGGCTGACAAGCCTTCGAGGACTGATCACTTCTGAAGAGCTCCAAGTTCATCTCATAGCTTAGTCATGCAGGTTAGATTTAGTTGTTTTATGAGGAAAAACAAAGCATGTAACTGTCATTCACTTCTGACTTCTGACTATACAAATTTGTAGAAAATAAAGCTATTTGTTTCAATGTAATGTACAATCTGTGAACGAGTGGATCCAAAGTTGTCACTTGTACACGCATGCCTACTTTGTATATATTCTACACCAACGATCACAAATAAAATTTCTATTTGGTACAAAGATACATTTGGACCATAATCTGAATTGTTTGGTGTTGCCTGTGTAACAATTAGGTTCCAAAGCATATCAGCGACCTAAAGTGGCTCTGTTCCATGACAAGTAGCTGTTGTCTCCCATTTTCCTGTGGGTGACCAGAAGAAAATCATATTAGTACTTCAACGCAGCAAGAAGTGATGTAACCAGATATGTCTTATAGCATGTTCATCTTGATGTAATTGCAATATATGAGAACCAGAAAATCACTAACCTTGGTTTTATCAAGTATAACAAGGTGAATGCAAATGCCAAGAAGAAGCAGATTCCACCAACAGTGAGGTATGCAAGGCCCAGAAAATCATTCTTTCCACCAATCCAGGTTGCTGTAGAAAGCACCAACTTCTTCTTGCCACTAAAGCTATAGGTGTTGTAGTTGTTCTCCAATTGGACTGTAATTGTATCGTTTTCCTTGAGATCAACATATATCCTACCATACAGCTTTCTGAATGTTGGAAGTGCTGCAGTTCGCATCCAAACAATAAGGTCCTCTTGTTCACTCAACTGCTCAGAAGAAAAACGAGTTAGTGACTTCGGAGGCAAAAGGTATCCAAAATGATCAAAACAACTTATCTTAATCAATCTAAGAGAAAATTCATTGGGAGTCATTTGATCTTTAAACTTGATAACTACTGTATGCTAAAAGCATACTTTCCCTATTAGGTGGCCACCATTATGCAAAAAAAAAAAGGATGATACAAAGCAAGATCCATGAACATACCGGGATTTTTGAATCAAGTATTTTTCCACCTTGAAGAGGTCCTTTCTGAAAGTTCATTGGTAAGACATCACTCCCAAATTTGTGGTCTCTGTCACTCTTCCAAGAGATGCCTTTCTTATCCACACTCAAGGTTTCATTGTTGCGGATGAGGTTATATGTATCATTGAACAGGCTCCATGCAATAAGCCCACAAGGCACAATTGGCTTTCCATCTACCGTTTTGGCCTCAGGATCACAATTGTCAGTCTTACTCGCCTTACTTTTATCTCTTAGCTGTCCATCATTACGGCTCTTGACATACCTGAATGTGATGAATGTTTCAGTTAAGTAGGGAAAAATACATCTTAAGAGCAAGAAGACTTCTCACTGACAAAATTTAAAACAATAAGAGAGAGAGAGAGAGAGAGAGAGAGAGAGAGAGCATTGGCTAAAGATTACATACCTCCTATGATTCTGGTAAAAGTTATCCAGCTGATAATACACGAAAATCGGCTGTTTCATATCCTTTGTAATCTGAAGACCATGTAATCAAATATTTCAGCCAATTATTCATTTGATCTTATGCCAAGATGCATACTTGTAAAGTAACTGACATCTCACACACCATCACTAGTCAATGCTGTTTCTATTATAGTTTTTTCCACAACAACAACAACAACAACAACAACAAAGCCTTTAAGTCCCAAACAAGTTGGGGTAGGCTATTATAGTTTTTTTCCATTCCCAAAATTTCAGGTTAGAAGAAGACAGCGGATAATTCCATTACCGTCAGATTCCTTGTGCAGGCTTTTGGTATACTATCATTCCGGATGTAAGCAAGCTTGTCAGTCACACCAGCAGGGACACATGCGTCATCATACCGATCAACAATCTCGACAACCTGCAGCAGAGAAAACAACCAACATAAACAAAATGATGGAGCTTATATTTCAAACCAAGCAGACAGGATATTGGGCATACTTGTTGTGAAGCTCGCAGCGAAACAATACCAATTGGGACAAAAATCACACCAACAAGAACAAATACTGAAATAACCTGTGTAACATAAGAAGTTAAGCATAACCATTTGTGGGGTTTGATGTAGGAAAGCTGATGACACCAAGGGAAATTTGTACTATTGAGCTTACCCATTTTGGAGTAAGAATCGGCTTGCAAGCTGGAAGCTCCTGCTGCGTAAACTTGGAATCTGTTTGCACAGAAGGACAACGTTAGAAATCCTTTAATTACAGCAAAGCTAGTGTATTTTTGAAGGAAAACCAGCAAAGCTGATATGAATATTTGGTCTTTTGAAAAATGAATATCTGATAAGCAGAATCGTCAGTTAAACAAATTGCAGTATTTTTTTTTATCTCTTGAAACTCCAGTCCTGGTTCTAACACTACTCAGCATCCATAAGAGTATGGTGTATTAACAGAGCAAAAAACATGCACTCAAGTTCCTCTACCATATTATCCTAATAAGGAGATAAAAATATAGTACAAACAGAACATCAGATTTCAGAACTTATTTGAAATCAAACCTCACAAGGTTATACTCCTATAAAACTTATATTCAAGCACAAAACTAACAAAGAGAAATTTCAATATTTAACCCTGAGTTCGAACGCCACTCAATATTTGACATCCAATTCGCAAGCCTTTCAATATTTGACCCTGCGCATACGAATTCTTTCAATCTTAGGGATTACGAAGGATTTCTCTCATTTCTTATTTCTAGTTGCTTCTTTACACTGTTTAGGACACTGGAAATGACAATACTACCCTCCGCTCATATCAGATGGCCTAGACGCTCACTCAGCCCTCGGTTCCCTCGGTTTGCGCTCTTTTCTCACAACATCTTCCTGGCCGGCCTGGTTTCTGTCAGGCATATGGCCAGTGCTTGATGTAATTTTTTTTGGCTAAGCTAACATCGTGTTAGTACGGGGGCTCGATGCATGTTAGTAGTAGTATTAGCTTAATCTAAATCCAGCTAGCTAGGCATGTGTGATAACCACTTCGTGTATATGGTATATGGCATGCATGTCCGGATCGGAGCTGCAGGAGACATCGCACGCGCAGCCGGCGGGCGGTCAGACGCGCGCTCCCGGCCACGATCGATTGTGCCACGCGCCGTCCACCCGTCCGATGCGGCTGGCTGGCCGGGCGGATCCCATCCTTGACGGCCACCACATGCTGCATGCGCGGCGTGATGGAGGTGGAGGGCGATTGCGACGACTAGAACTAGTATGCAGCGACGACACCAACCAGCGGTGCTCGGCGAGTGGGGGCCGGCGGCGGCTAGTCGACTGGCGCCGGAGTGGCCGGAAGCGGGCGGCGGCTGGTCGAGCGCCTGCGCTCGTCGTGCCCCGGGCGGAAGGGGTCTAGGCACGCGGAGGTGAACTGGACAGGCGGCGCCGCTGCATGCGGGCGGGGTCGGGGTCAGGTGGTGGCGTCCGCGAGCGGCCTCGCTCCTCCGTGCGGTCGTGATCGCGGCGAAGGAACGCAAATGGTTGCAGGATAGGATAAGAAGGCGTGGGTAGTTTTGTCATTTCCCATGTTCTGAGGAGTGAGAACAGATATTTAGAAATAGAAAAAGAGAGAAAATCTGAGAAATCCCTTATATTGAAAGAATTCGCTTGCGCAGAGTCAAATATTGAAAGGCTTACGAATTGGATGTCAAATATTGAGAGGCCTACGAACTCAGGGTTAAATATTGAAATTTCTCACTAACAAACAACCAGCCTAAAAATACCAAAAGAAAAGGTGATCCCAAGGAAAACAGAAAGGAAAGAAGAGATAATACCCTTTGATTGAAGCCTTAAAATATAGAGATAATATCAGCGAAATCGTATTCAGAAAGAAGATCTCACACTTGGGCTTCCTGGAGTTCCTCCTGGGCTGCGCGGCGCCATCCCCGGATCCGCCGGAGCTCGACCCGGCGGCGTGGCTATCCATCCCACCAGCCGCCAAGAAAAAACCGCCTCTACCTACCTGCCGCCCAAACGGACCTCGCCAAAATCGCCGGCGGTCAGCAGCAATAGCCCAAGGAAGCACAACGGAAAAGAACGGCGTCCCCGGACTCCGCTGCCTCGAGAGATTTGGTGGCGGGCGGAACGAAGGCGAGGCGGGGAAAGAAGTAGAAGAACACGGGGAAAAGCTGGGACCTTGCTGGTACTCCTCTTGCGAAGGTTACAAGGAAGGAGGAGGAGGAGGAGGGGGAGCGGTTTGACTATACAAGAGGAGGGTGGGCGTGGTGGTGGTCGTGCCCCCCGCGTTGAGCCGAGCCGGCGGAGATGACCGACTGACCAAGGCCAGGGAGGAGTCGAATTAGTCAACGGAATGGTCCTGTGTTTTTTCTTCCTGTATGTACAAATTTTCTAAGGAGAAACAGCGTCTATCTAGAATAGAATGAATAGATGTTGGAACGGCTGGGTTGGATGGAGTAGTTGGGCGATTAGCTGTCCTCACAATTTTGGTGTATGCTCCTTCCTGCAACCGTGTGAGACTAGCTGCAACTTGCAAGCGTAGCATAGTTGCATAGGTGAAACTCATGCATACTTCAGTACGCCAGATTCACACAGTAGGAATAGGGACATTTTTACTGTAGAGGCGGCTGGGGTTGGAGACGCCCCCACAGTGGGCGTTATCGGGTCCTAGCAGCTCAGCAGTCCTTATAGATGGCACTGTAGGAGCGGCTGGTAACTTGAGCCGCCCCTACAGTTAGAGCTGATCTGTAGGGGCGGCTTAATCACCAGCCGCCCCTGCAGTGCCCATTTGTTGTTTTTTAAAATTTCAAATTTGAAAGGTTCAAATTTTGTCAAATGATAAGATGACCAAAATAAAAGTTGTAGATATTAATTAGTTGAACAACTTTGGTATTTATCACTTTTTATGTTGAAATC